CCCGGAAGCTCTTGCCCTGCGTACTGTCAGATCTGCACCTGCTGTAGGATGAGAAGATTGGGCTAGACACTGCAGCTTATTCCATGCCTGGAAGCGATTAAGCTCTACGCACTGTCAGACCCACAACTGGAGAGGAAAGAAGACGGAGCTAGGCCCTACTGTAACCCACAGGAAAGGTTACTCAACGTACGGCCAGATTCCAGAAGAATGAGAACTTTGTGGGTGATATATGTGTTTATTTATGTGTCAATTTTGTGAATTGGTAACTGGTTCAATAAGCATGCCAAAATGTATGTTTGATCAATATGGGAGAAATGCTAACTTGGGATATATGAGCATTATGAGTCCATTGTAAAATTTGCTTTTCTGTCTGCCTTTGATTAATAAGGAAGTTATAGTTTGGCTACTCTAGTCTTATAAGACCAAAAGTCAGACCATTGAGTCTTAAATCCTCCTAGTCTTTTCAATGGTTGCAACATAGATTAACACAGGTTCTGAAAACACCCCCAGGTAAATGCTTTTGAATAAAGGAAAGAAATTATTCTCAAATAGAAGTTAAGTAGGTGCATTTAGACTTATTTAGACTGGAAAGAAATAATAATAATACCAGAAAAAAAGTCTTAAAAGCACCTAAAGGGGGGAATTGATGAGGAGATATTGGGAAAATAGATATTTATTGATTGATCTATGCATAAAAATCATATGTATCTTACAAGCACTGAAATGCATAGGAAAATCTCTCTGTGTGTGTAAGAAACCTAAGCTGGCAAAACAAGCAGGCTACCTCCAAGGTATGGCAGGAGGGAGGAGAAGGGGGGTATGCATTCCAGAAGAGAGATAAGACACGGGCTGGTACGAGAAGGCCCCCTCTAAGTAAGAAGCCTCTTGACCTGTCAGAGGGCCTCTTTGATGGATGACTGTAAGCACAGCCAAGAGGGAGGAGGGGATACTCCATGCTTGCTCTGGTTTCAGCAAGACACAGAGACATGCTTTTTGCATGTTGGAGGGGGAACCTGATATTCTTATGATGCCAGGATTACGTAGGGATGATGATGATTGTATGAAGACGTATGTTCTTTGTTTCATTCCGATTGGAGACTATAAAAGGCCAGTCCGCACCTTGATCGGGGGCTCTGGGTTTTGATTTTTGGGACATGAGTCCACCAGAGTCACCAGCTGGATAAATAAAGCCGTTCTTTTCTGATCTCCAGAAAGGATGTCTCTTGGTAATTATCTCTCCTTTCCTCAAAACCTATTTCCCTGCCATTTCACTGCCAGTGCCCCCTATATACAAAACGAGTTTAGAACCATTTTTTTCTTGATCAACCAAGCCTACTATCGATATAAATAAAAATGTAATGTTCGTTTGTGGGATTAACAGAACTCAAAAACCACTGGGCGAATTGACACCAAATTTGAACACAAGACACCTAACAACCCAATGTATGTCCTAAACACACACAAAAAACCCCAGCAGAACAGACTTAAAACCCCCCAAAATAAACTATATATACATATATACATACACATGCACACATACATACATATATACACACACACACACACATATATATACACAAGCACACACAAATATACACATACATATACACATGTACACATACATGCACACATACACATATATTTACATATACACATGCACACGTACACATATAGACATATATATATATACACAAACACACACATATGCTCAATATACATATACACATATAAACACAGAAATACAAAAATATATACACATATATACACACACATATGCCCACACACATATACACCCATCTATCTATCTATCTATCTATCTATCTATCTATCTATCTATCTGCAAACACACATATATACACATATACACAAATATATACACATGTATACATACATATATATATACACACACACACACATATGCCCACACACATATACAGCCATCTATCTATCTGTCTGTCTGTCTGTCTGTCTATCTATATGCAAACACACATATACATACATATACACAAATATATACACACACATAAGCACATATATATACACACGAAACATATACACAGACTGGGCCACAGCAACGCATGGCAGGGGATGGCTAGTCTATATAAATGAAAATGTATATACGGTAATTCTCTACATTTTCCTATACTCTCTTAGCCTCTGGAATGGAGAACCTAAACTTGAATTGAGTCCAAAAGAAATAGAATTAAGTGAATGAGAAATGCGAGAAGAATATGATACCCCATTTTCCTTATTTCTTCTTTCCCAGGCAACAAAGTCTCAAGACATTAGTAAAGAGGATCATGCTGATCAGAGAGAAATTGAAAGAGAAACTGCGTATCTTGGGAACGCCTGGTTCCTGGGAGCATCTTACTGCCCAGTCAGGAGTAAATAGCTTTATTGGTCTCCTCCGTAGGTATCCAATGAGTATGTTCTTTCTGTAATGTATTGGATAGATTTGCATCCAAGGGCTGTGCTCTCCTGAAGCTCTGTCATTTGTGCTATGGTAGAAATCTCATTATGTGCATGCAAGCATTCCAAAAGCTGAACCCAAAATATGGAACCCTTCGCACTCCAAAGATTTTGGGTAAAGAATACTCATGCTGTTTAATTCTTGCATTCATGCCAGCATTCACTTTGAGTTTTGGTCATTTCTAAAGTGTTGTCAAAGGCTTTCATGACCGGAATCGCTGGGTTGCTGTGAGTTTTCCAGGCTGTATGGCCATGTTCAAGAAGCATTCTCTCCTGACGTTTTGCCCACATCTATGGCAGGCATCCTCAGACCTCACAACATCAGTGGATGTATGCTATAGATGTGGGCAAAACATCAGGAGAGAATGCTTCTGACAATTCCAGTTTCCAACAATACACAATCAGGCAAGAAATAATCTGTGCCAGCTAATCACCGTCCAACAAAGGATCCAACAAAGGAGACAAGGATGTGGAATAATGGCTCCAAACTACAAGAAAGGAGATTCCATCTGAACATTAGGAAGAACTTCTTGACTGTGAGAGCCGTTCAGCAGTGGAACTCTCTGCCCCGGAGTGTGATAGAGGCTCCTTCTTTGGAAGCTTTTAAACAGAAGCTGGATGGCCATCTGTTGGGGGTGCTTTGAATGCAAATTTCCTGCTTCTTGGCAGAATGAGGTTGGACTGGATGGCCCATGAGCTCTCTTCCAACTCTATGATTCTATTATTCCCTCAGGCGGGAAGCAGCCAAGCCGTGAAGCTGCAAGGCTATTCAATGCGGATCAAGGTGATCAAGTGCCTCCAACAGACAAGAGTTTTTTGTCCTACCCCGGACCTTCAACAGATATATAAACCCCACTTGCCTAGTTTACAACAGACCTCACAACCTCTGAGGATGCCTGCCATAGATGTGGGTGAAACATCAGGAGAGAATGCTTCTGACAATTTCAATTTCCAACAATAAACAGTCAGGCAAGAAATAATCAGGGCTAGATAATAACCTCCCAAAAATGGATTCATCCAGGCAGGAAGCAGCCAAGCTTTGAAGCTACAATGCTATTCAATGTGAATGAAGGTGATCAATTGCCTCCAAGAGACAAGAGTTCTTTCTCCCACCCTGGACCTTCAACATATATATAAACCCCACTTGCGTAGTTTCCAACAGACCTCACAACCTCAGAGGATGCCTGCCATAGATGTGGGCAAAACGTCAGGAGAGAATACTTCTGGCCATATAGTTCAGAAAACTCAAAGCAACTAATTAGTCAGTGTTTTGAATCTTAAGTCCCAAATGTCAAGGTCTATTTCCTCCAGTAGATGCATTAAATTCATGGAAATTTCATAGAATCATAGAATCAAAGAGTTGGAAGAGACCTCATGGGCCATCCAGTCCAACCCCCTGCCAAGAAGCAGGAATATTGCAGTCAAGTTTGGTCAGATCCATCATTGTTTGAGTCCACAGTGCTCTCTGGATGTAGGTGAACTACAACTCCCAAACTCAAGGTCAATGCCCAACAAACCCTTCCAGTGTGTTCTGTTGGTCATGGAAGTCCTGTATGCCATGTTTGGTTCAATTCCATCATTGGTGGAGTTCAGAATGCTCTTTGATTGTAGGTGAACTATAAATCCCAGCAACTACAACTCCCAAATGTCAAGGTCTATTTCCCTTAAACTCCCATCTGTGTTCATATTTGGGCATATGGAATATTCGTGCCAAGTTTGGTCCAGATCCATCATTGTTTGAGCCCACAGTGCTCTCTGGATGTGGGTGAACTATAATTCCCAAACTCAAGGTCAATGTCCACCAAACCCTTTCCAGTTTTTTCTGTTGGTCATGGGAGCCCTGTGTGCTAAGTTTGGCCCAATTCCATCATTGGTGGAGTTCAGAATGCTCTTTGATTGTAGGTAAACTATAAATCCCAGCAACAACAATTCCCAAATGACAAAATCATTTTTGAGTGGAGGACATAAATTGGACTGTTAGGTGTCTTGTGTCCAAATTTGGTGTCAATTCCCCCAGTGGTTTTTGAGTTCTGATGGTAGCACGAACTAACATTACATTCTTATTTATATAGATAGATTCACATACACACACAAACAAACAAGCAAACACACATATATACACAAATATATACACACACATAATCACATATATGCACACACAAAACACTTATATACAGACTGGGCCACAGCAATGCGTGGCAGGGGACGGCTAGTACAAAATAGAATAAAAATAATGAGTTACAAACGAAGTTTTGCACACACTTGCTGGATATTGTGCATATGAAAGGAAACAGTGCTAAAGTGCTTCTCAATGTTCTTGCTTCCCACCGCCAGCCTCCCAAGTGGATTTCCTGGCCAAGCGGAAGCACATCTACCTCCTTCCAAATGGGCAGATCAACATCTGCAGCATTAACTCGAGGAATCTGAACTACGTTGCACAGAGTATCCATGAAGCAGTGGTGTCCACCACCGTTGAAGACCACAGACCGAGCACAGATTTAGATGATCCAGCCAGAAATTCCATCGATGAAGTGCCAGCCAGATGCAGTTTTCGATAGTTAACATTAAAGTCAATGTATTTGCTTTGCTTCTAAACCACAGCAGCAATTTGAAAAGGTATTTTTCAACTACCTTTCCCGGGATGATCCAATGGCTGGTCGATTATAGTGATTCCCACATTGCGAGTTCTGGCTTCTGTGTTGCAGAAGAGGAAGGAAGAGAAGAATTCAGTGTATAGACAACTAAATTTGCCAGTAAATGATGTCAAACGTAAATGCGTGTGTGCACAATGAGCATAACAGGAAATCACAATCAGCCTTTCTCTTCTTTCTGGAAATAGGAGCACCCGGTTGCACAATGGGTTAAACCAGTGGTTCTCAACCTGGGGTCCCCAGATGTTTTTGGCCTACAACTCCCAGAAATCCCAGCCAGTTTACCAGCTAGGAGTTGAAGGCCAAAAACATCTGGGGACCCCAGGTTGAGAACCACTGGATCAAACAACTGTTTCTCAACCTGGGAGTTGGGAGCCCTGGGGGGATCGCAAGGGGGCGTCAGAGAGGTTGCCAAAGACCATCTGGAAACACAGTATTTTCTGTTGGTCATGGGGGTTCTGTGTGCCAAGTTTGGTTCAATTCCATCGTTGGTTGAGTTTAGAATGCTCTTTAATTGTAGGTGAACTATAAATCCCAGCAACTACAACTCCCAAATGTCAAGATTCTATTTTCCCCAAACTCCAGCAGTGTTCACATTTGGGTATATTAAAGATTCATGCCAAGTTTGGTCCAGATCTATCATTGTTTTGAGTACACGGTGCTCTCTGGATGTAGGTGAACTACAACTCCAAAACTCAAGGTCAATGCCCACCAAACCCTTCCAGTATTTTCTGTTGGTCATGGGAGTTTGGTGTGCCAAGTTTGGTTCAATTGCATCGTTGGTGGGGTTCAGAATGCTCTTTGATTGTAGGTGAACTATAAATCCCAGCAACTACGACTCCCAAATGCCAAGGTCTATTTTCCCCAAACTCCACCAGTATTCCACCAGTTTTTGCTTATTGACTATTCGTGCCAAATTTGGTCCAGATCCATCTTGGTTTGAGTCCACAGTGCTCTCTGGATGTAGGTGAACTACAACTCCAAAACTCAAGGTCAATCCCCACCAAACCCTTTCAGTATTTTCTGTTGGTCATGGGAGTTCTGTGTGCCAAGTTTGGTTCAATTCCGTCGTTGGTGGAGTTCAGAATGCTCTTTGATTGTAGGTGATCTATAAATCTCAGCAACCAGAACTCCCAAATGTCAATGTGTATTTTCCCCAAACTCCACCAGTGTTCCACCAGTTTGGACTTATTGAGTATTCATGCTAAATTTGGTCCAGATCCATCACTGTTTGAGTCCACAGCCTCTCTGGATGTAGGTGAACTATAACTCCAAAACTCAAGGTCAATGCCCACCAAACCCTTCCAATATTTTCTCTTGGTCATTGGAGTGCCAAGTTTGGTTCAATTCCATCTACAACAACCCAGTGATTCCGGCCATGAAAGCCTTCGACAATACACCAAAAAGCTTTTTTGGGGATCATGTCGTGTTCGAATGAATCTCCCCATGAAACATACATTTTTGTATTTCTGCGTCAGAAAATTTGCCTTTTCAGCTGGATTAGTTTGACAGACCCATATTCTCTCTCTCCTCAAAAAAACAACAACACTACATTAAATCAGATATTCCTTTTGCTGGGTTTCCAGCAGGCCTGTGCAGGCCCCGTCATGCTTTTGGGAATGAATCAGTATGGCTTCTGTCCATAAACAGCATGAACGTCTCTTTTTCTGGACTTCCTTTGCTCAAGGACTTAATCATTTGTTCCGGCTACCTGATTAATTTTTGAACTCTAGCAAGAGGGGTTCAATTTATTCGCTGTTATTCGGCTCTCTGCTGGTTTTTCATTTGAAATTGTTCTGCGATTCCAGAAATGCATTCAAGGGTAGGAACTCCACAAAATGGAAAAGGAGACAGAGCAAAACTCTTGCTGATCACAAATTCATCCGACTGTCTCTGTTTTTACCAGTAAATTGTCTGTTTGTTTGTTTGTTTATTTATTTATTTATTTACTAGCTGTCCCCTGCCACGCTTTGCTGTGGCCCACATAGGGGTTCTGTGTGGGAAGTGTAGCTTAATTCTATCGTTGGTGGGGTTCAGAATGCACTGTGATTGTGGGTGAACTATAAATCCCAGCAACTACAACTCCCAAATGGCAAGATTATATTTTCCCAAACTCCACCAGTGTTCACATTTGGGCATATTGAGTATTCGTGTAGAGTTTGGTCCAGATCCATCATTGTTTGAGTCCACAGTGATCTCTGGATAGGTGAACTACAACTCCAAAACCAAAGGACACTGCCCACCAAACCCTTCCAGTATTTTCTGTTGGTCATGGGAGAACTGTGTGCAAGTTTGGTTCAATTCCATCGTTGGTGGGGTTCAGAATGCTCTTTGATTGTAGGTGAACTATAAATCCCAGCAACTGCAACTCCCAAATGACAAAGTTCTATTTCCCCCAAACTCCACCAGTGTTCACATTTGGGCATATTGAGTCTTTGTGTAGAGTTTGGTCCAGATCCATCATTGCTTGAGTCCACAGTGATCTCTGGATATAGGTGAACTACAACTCCAAAACCAAAGGACACTGCCCACAAACCCTTCCAGTATTTTCTGTTGGTCATGGGAGAACTGTGTGCCAAGTTTGGTTCAATTCTATGGTTGGTGGGGTTCAGAATGCTCTTTGATTGTAGGTGAACTATAAATCCCAGCAACTCCCAAATGTCAAGGTCTATTTTCCCCAAACCACCAGTATTCACATTTGGGCATATTGAGTATTCATGCTAAGTTTGGTCCAGATCCATCATTGTTTGAGTCCACAGTGCTCTCTGGATGTAGGTGAACTACAACTCCAAAACCAAAGGACACTGCCCACCAAACCCTTCCAGTATTTTCTGTTGGTTATGGGAGAACTGTGTGCCAAGTTTGGTTCAATTCCATCGTTGGTGGAGTTCAGAATGCTCTTTGATTGTAGGTGAACTATAAATCCCAGCAACTACAACTCCCAAGTGACAAAATCATAATTTTTTTCCTTGTGTTGTGAGACGTTTTGTTGCCAAATTTGGTGTGATTTCATTCATTGGTTCTTTTGTTTTTAAGGAACTCATTATGCACTGAGCATTTATATATATATATATATTTACAACATTTCTATCCGGCCCTTCTCAACCCCCGAGGGAGGGGGACTCAGAGCGGCTAACAATGGCAACAATTTGATGCCGCAATATCGCAGTATCACAACAATATAAAACCATAAGGACCTTGTCAAAGGAATGTTATAGAGCAGGAATTTAGGGGTCTTTGCCAGGAGGCAGAGACCAATCTGACTCTTTAAAGAGTTTGTTACCCTGGCGAGACAGAGAGAAGCACCCAATCCCTGATTTTTCCCAATAAAAGGTCTCACCAAGTGGAAGGAAGTGCCACCGAGGTTTATTAGCGATTCAGCTGAAAAGGATGCAGAGCGGCAATCATTCGCCAAGCAGAGCATGTGGTTACAGAAGTAAAGGCCATTTTTATAGAAAATACAGAGTTGTGAGTTTCAAAATTCCCACTCCCCCCTCCCGCCCAGCTCGAAGGGGATTGGCTGATGCGCAAACAGCTGGGAGGAAGCTTGGCCGTCCCCCATGCATCAGGGCCAATCACAGGGCTTTCGCGGGGCGCCAGAGCCTATCAGGAGGCTCCTGCTGCCTCGACGCTCCAGCGAATCAGAAGGGAGGGAGGCGGGATGAAGGGAGACAATGCATTCTGGAGTGGATTATGGAGTTTTAATGTCCTTAGGCTTATCGAGTCCGGGGATCGGCCTTCCAGAGAAGCCACTTTATTGTCCTGAGATGGGTCTGTGATAAGCATTGATGGCTTAATCCGAGTTTTCCTCTTACAATCAGATAGGGCACAAAGGGGAAACTTTTGTGAATGTCCTTAGTGGAAAGATTTGAAAGAAAAATGGCTTGGAGGAAAAGAGGACTTTCCTAAGGTCATATTCCCCCCATTGTTATATGATTAAAAAGTCTGCCAAACGGAAATCCTAATGGTGGCCCAACTCCGAAGTCAAAAGGATTTCCTTTACTATTGTCCATGCAAAGAATGTCCAAAGAGAAGGGTCTTTTCATGATTGCTGATTGCTTTTCCAGAGGCAGGGCAGCTTCCTTGTAGATTTCCCCCAAGGAGAGGGGAAGGGGGCAAAAGGGTCAGGGCAAGGTCAAATACATGAAGGGAAATATAGAAATACAGGAGAAAATATGAAAATATAGAAATCCTAACACAGAGAGTAAACCCAACTACCTTCCTATTATTCATAGGAAGGTCCATAAAGGGAAATATATCCATGAGGGGGAAAGAGAGTCCCTTGTTTGTGAGATGGGGGACCATCAGGAGCCCAGGTGTGTCTCAGGTGGGAAAAGTCAAATTTCTCATCTTTGTTTCATGGAAGCCTTGCTTGGAAGATTAATGCTTAGGTATTTCTTGTTTCATGTTTTTGACTCTTGGATTTTATGATTGCATACTCATGCCTTGGATTAATGTTTCCTAGTTTTCTGGATTATATTAGAGAATTGTGGACTTTGTTTTCATGGACTTTGCTGAACTTTACCCTGGACTATTTTGTTCCTGCTTATCTTCTTACCTAGTTAGATTCACCTATTTCTTTAAAGTGCTTTTTACTTTGCTGCTTTTTAATTATCTATATAAATAAAAATGTAATGTTTGTTTGTGGGATTAACAGAACTCAAAAACCGCTGGGAAAATTGACACCAAATTTGGACACAAGACACCTAACAACCCAATGTATGTCATTTGGAAGTTGTAGTTGCTGGGATTTATAGTTCACCTACAATCAAAGAGCATTCTGAACCCCACCAACAATGGAATTGAACCAAAATTGGCACATAGTTATCCCATGACCAACTGAAAATACTGGAAGGGTTTGGTGGGTTGTGTCCTTTGGCTTTGGAGTTGTAGTTCACCTACATCCAGAGATCACTGTGGACGCAAACAATGATGGACTTGGACCTAACTTGACACGAATACTCAATATGCCCAAATGTGAACACTGATGGAGTTTGGGGAATATAGACCTTGACATTTGGGAGTTGTAGTTGCTGGGATGTATAGTTCACCTACAATCACAGAGCATTCTGAACCCCACCAAGATAGAATTGGGCCAAACCTCCCACAGAGAACCTCCATGT